AATTTGTGGAGGGTATCTAGGGTCTGGGGCATGCCCAGCGTCGCAGGGAGCCAGGACGAAAAGTAGGACGACCGCGTCTGGGGCATGCCAGCGTCGCAGTGAAGGGGTACGTTGACGGGGTAGGAGGAAGCGGTGGCAGCGGTGGAGGATGAGGAGGAGGAGGAGGAGGAGGAGGAGGAGGAGGAGCGGGAGGAGGACCAGGTGGAGGACGAAGAGGAGGCGGAGGAGGAGGAGGAGGAGGAGGAGGAGGAGGGAAGGAGGGAATGACGGGGGAAGAGGATTGTTAGGATGGGGGAGGGGCAGCTTGCCAAGTCTGCGGCAGCTGGCACACAGGAGAGGTGCCGCACAGACCCTCCCAGATCAGCCGATGACCCTCCCCCACAAGGCGTCGAAATCTCGTTGTAAAGTGGAGCAGCGCGCCTCCCCCAGGGCCTAGGGTTAAGTCGGGCCTGTCCCTCTACAGGAGGAATATCCAAAAATAGTAAAACCAAATCGGCGGGACGATTTTTGGATTATTGTTTGACCATTTGGGGATATTTTTGGGTACGTTTTATTTTTCGTCGAAAACCCCCCTGTAGGGGGACACGCCCGACTTAAGCGTAGGGGGAGCACAAAGGTGACATTGGTGCCTGCAGCGGCGCACGGGGGAGGGGCAGGGCGGAGGAGGGTGACCGAGATGGGCGAGGGGGCGATGAAGGGGGAGAGCCTCCTCCTCCTCCTCCTCCTCCTCTTCTTCCTCCTCCTCCTCCTCCGCCTCCTCCTCCTCCACCTCCTCCTCCACCTCCTCCTCCTCCGCCTCCGCCTCCTCCTCCTCCGCCTCCTCGGAAGGATGACAAGAAGAGGGGGAGGTGTGGAAGAAGCGGGGAGGGAAGGCGAAAAACAGGAGGGGGAGAGAATGAGGAGGAAGGGGGAGCGGCAGGGTGAGGATGGAGGAGGGAGGATGGGGGAAAGGAGAAGGACCAGTGTAAACCCGAGACTCACCAACGATGTTTGTGTCCACCCTCCCTCCAAGCTCCCACTTTATAGGTTCCTACAGGGGTTCAGTTCCACAGGAGAGTGCCCCATTGGGAGAAAACCAGCTGAAGATCCTGACGCATGCCAAAACACCATTCCCAGGATCCCAACTCCACACGTCAATATCCTGAATCAACGTAACTGTTGCGCCCTTGCAATCCTGAATATCTCCTGAACACCATGTCTGGTACGTTGACAATGGGAACCCGTGACACGCTTGCAAAAGTTAAGACGTTCGCGCGCGGCGCTAAGGCGAGAGCCACATTTTGAAAATGAGCCGCCCTACATCCGTGTAGCTCTTGCATGTCTTGCGCTTGCGCCTGTTTGTGACGAATGTGCGCGGGGCTGCGGCGAGAGCCACATGTTGAGAGCGACCCGCACTCCATCCGCGAAATTCTCGCAACTGTTTAAGACGAGTGTGCACAACACTAAAGCAAAAACCACATGTTCAAAACCGCTCGCTCTCCATGTGAGAAACGGTTGTCGCTTGTTCAGCTTCAGGACCATGAATGGTAAGGAAGTGTCTCGGGTGAACCGCCCGGCCCGCCCTTCCGACTGGCCTCGGGATGCGACGGGGAGGAGTTACTCACACGGAAAAGGACTTGAGGAAGATGAGGAGGAGGGAGCGTGGAGGGGGAAGAGGAGGAGAAGGAAGAGGAGGAGGAGGAGGAGGAGGAGGAGGAGGAGAGGAGAGGAGAGGAGAGGAGAGTAGAGGAGAGGAGAGGAGGAGGGGGAAACGGGGGAGGGAGGACAGAGGAGAGGGGAGGGGGGAAGGGAGGAGTAGGAGGAGGAGGATAGGAGAGGAAGCAGGGGAAGGGGAAGAAGGCGGCGGGTGCATGGAGCGTGGATAGGCCTGGGCCTGAAGACCCAGGCCCGGAAGAAAAGGCGGTGAGACACAGGATGCGCGAGCCACGGGGAGCCAACCTCCCGAGCCGCTCGATCACCGCAGCAGGCCCGCGTCGCTCTCCTTGGCCCTCCCGGCCCCCATATGGGCTGCATCGCAGCGGCCGTTGCGGTCAGCTGTCGGCTCGCCCCAGCGCTCCTGGGGGCGCCGGCTCACCCTATAGGCGCCGCAGGGGTGCCCCACCAGCGCCCCCCCTCGCTCCTCGTCCTCCCTCCGGTCATGCTCCTTCTTTTTCTTCTCCTTCTTCTTCACAACCTCCTCCTCGTCCTCATTCTTCTGCCCCATCCTCCTCCTCGTCCTCTTCTCTTCCTCCTCCTCATCATCATCGGCATCATCATCATTATCATGTCGCACACCCCGAGACGTGTCGGTAGGGCGGGCCTTGCTTTTCGCGGGAGATCTCCTCGCCAGTCATGATCCTGGAGCTGAGAATGTGCAACAGCTTCGCGGATGGAGGACGGGCCGTTCTTCCATGTGGTGCCGCGCACAGTCGTTCCACAGCGTTCCAGGAGCCCCAGGGATGGAGGGAGGCTCTTTTTCAGCAGGCTGCTCTCACCTCAGCGACGCGCACGTTCGTGCCCAAAGTTCTCAACCAGTTTCAAGGACTCGCATGGCTGACGTCCCCAGGAATTGTGTTTTGGCCAGATTTAGGACTGCCAGGGCGCAGCAGTCACGTTTATTCGCGGCGTTCGAGTCCCACGAATAATGTTCCGGCGCGATTTAGGATCGTCAGGACGCAACGTAAACATTGATTCGCAGCGTTGGAGTCCCAGGAAAGGTGTTGTTCGGCACGGGATTCTCAGACGGTCGTGTTCCAACGGAGCACTTCCCGCAGTGAAAATAGATCCTTGTAGGGACCTTGTAGGGACCTGTGAAGAGAATTTGGAGGGAGGATCTACTGCAACATCGCTGATGCGCCTTTGGTTTATGTACATTGGTCCTCCTCCTCCTCCTCCTCCTCCTCCTCCTCGTCCTCTTCCTCCTCGCCCTCCCTCCTCCTCGTCTTCCCTCCTCCTCCTTATCCTTCCTCCTCCCTCCTCATTCCTCCTCCCTCTTCCTCCCTCCTCCCTCCCCCTCCCTCCTCTCTTGTCAGATCCAGCTCGAGCCTCTGGCCCTCCGAGGATCCTCCCCCTCCTCTCCCGGCGTGGATATAGAAGCGAATTCGAGCGAATCCTTTCCTCCGCCTACTCCTCCTCCTCCTCCTCCTCCTCCTCCTCCTCCTCCTCCTCCTCCTCCTCCTCCTCCTCCTCCTCCTCCTCCTCCTTCCCCTCCCCCTCCTCATTCTCCTTCTCTGCCCTCCCTCCCTCCATCCCCGTCCCCCCCCCCAGGAAGCGGCTGACGCCTCTGCACCAGCGCATCCTTGGCAACGTCATGGACAAGCTGTGGCTGCTGCGCGTGGGCGCCTGCGTCGGCTACCTGCTGCCGCTGCTGAACGCCCGTGCCTCGGCTGCCCCTGCGATGCGGGTCGCTCTCCTCCGCCGCGGGTGCCCTTCCTGAAGCTCCTGCTCCTCATCTGGCTCTTCCTCCTCCTCCTCCTCCTCCTCCTCCTCCTCCTCCTCCTCTCTTGCGCTCTGCTCCTCCTCCTCCTCATCCTCCTTTTCCTCGTCCTCCTCCTGCTTCTGTTTCTCTCTCTCTCTCTCTCGCTCTCGCGGAGGGGAGCCGCGTCGGCATGGTCTGTGCAGTGGCATCCCCCGTGCCGGCACGAGGGGGCCACCAGTGCGCCCCGTGCGCAGAGGTGCCGAGCTGCTCCTGCGAGGGGGCCCCCCCGGCTTCTCCCCAGTCCGACCCCCTCGGGAGCCTCGAGACGGGGGTCAATGCAAACGAGGGTCAGCCAGGGCACCGGATCCTGCAGGATCCTGCGAAGACCCCCTCCGGCTGACCCGGGTCAGCGAGCCGCTCGTGGCTGCGAGGCGGCCGCGCCTCTTGGCTGACCCGGGTTTGCGAAGACCTGCGTTGCAGTGGTTCTTCTTGCATTTCAGTTTTTGGTTTCCTGCTGACCCGGGTCTGGATTGACCCGGGTCAGAAGATCCCCGACTCTCATGGGATGATGGGCCTGTGTTCCACCACCACCACCACCATAAGTTAGAGGGGGAAAGGAGGTGAAGAGCGAGGAGGAAGAGGAAGAACAAGAGGGGGAGGAGGAAGGACTCCCTCCCCCTTCAGCTTGTGGTGGTGGTTGTGGAAAGCAGGCACATCATCGGACCCTTGTGGAGCAACGCCGCCGCCGCCTCCTCTTCACGCACACGGGTCGCTCCTTCTCCTTCCAGCTGGCTGCAAATTGCGGCCGAGGGCCGCGGGGACATGTCAATATAAGCCCTGCTCGTGCCACCTGGCCGCAAATCGAGGAAAAGGAGGAGGAGGGGGGCACGCGGAGAATGAGGAGGGCAATCAGGAGGAGGCAGAGGATACTGGCGATCCGATCGAGGACGAAGAGAAGCAAGAACACGCCCGGAGGTAGAACATGAGAAGGAGGAGGCTAGTGGCAGGGTGGGTATGATGCGGGAAGGGGAGAGGAAGGAGCAAGAGGAAGATATAGGAGGAACGTGCAGGACGGAGGAGCGGGAGAAGCAGGAGGAGGAGGGAGGGAGACAGAAGCAAGAACGAGAGAGAAACTAGCAGGGGGAGGCAAGACAAACATCAGCATAACAGTTGCACAGAGGCTGGGCGCGACTCTGCCCCCCCCTCCTTGAACAATTTCTCGCCGTAGTGTATATCTGCCCTCGCCGACCCCTTGGATACCGTTCCCCTTCGCGCTCCCTTCTCGGCCGCCCGCCGATCACCCGCTCCCGACGGCAGAGGTGCTGGATTTCGGCGAGATCGCGGTGTCACTTTATCCCTACGCCATGGGGGTACCGCCTAGCGAGCCGATTGTTAACTTCATGCAGACCAAGCTGGGGATGAAATACCTGTACAATGCGTACCTAAAATCGGGATACTACTTCCTGATCGTGTGGTGCCTTCGGGAAACGGGGTGGGCAACAGGAAGATGGTGACGTGCTTGTCCTGTTTGACAAAATTGGCGTAACATGTGCGAATCAGTTCTTTGCTCCAAATTTGGCTTACATCGGACAGTGTTGATGCACACTCGGTCTTGAGTGTTGAGCTTGGACAGAGTCGAGCGCACCATTCCGCAGGTTGCAGTCGAGATCAAACGGGGCGCTGGTGTTCTATAAGTGTTGGGCAAAGCCTATCAAGGGGCACAGGCGCCCATGTATGTGCCGCTACAGTACCTGTGTGTATATATATATATATACATGAATGCGGACAAAACTGTGTCTATGTATGTACACGAACACTTATGCACATCTACGTCGTCACGCCTGGTTCCACGCATAACTACATGTGGCCGCCTAGAGAAAGAGAGATATATATATATATATATACATATATATAGAGAGAGAGAGAGAACGACAAAAAGAGGGAGCGAGAGAGAGAGAGAGAGAGACAGAGACAGGTGTGTGTGGTTGTCTGCTGCTTGCGGGGTCCCCCCTAACACTAGGTGTTTGCATTCTCGAGCTGCCACCTTTGCGTCGGAAGTTCAGTGGTGCAATACACGTTGTGCGCTCTGTACGGAGTGATCTATGTGGTGCAGTCTACGCTATACAATATATGTAGTGGCATGAATACTGGGTATACGCACATATATATATATATACACAGATCTACACATACGAACCAATCGACCCATGTAGTGCATTACACGTTATGCACGTTGCGAAGTGCAAATTCAGCTAGTGCACCAGACGGCGAAGAAGCAACGACGGGCGTCCGCCGTGCGCAAACTTCGCAATTCCGGCTACACACTGGCTAACGAAGTGGAGCCCTTCAGGGCAAGTATTGGGTGGGGACTGTTTATATGATATGGATTACTTCTGCATGCATATATGTGCAGTGCCATATTTGCACGTAGTGTTCGTTTTTTTTGCATACGCGTGTATAGGCATAGATTCCCCATACAGCGCTTGCATTTAGCAGTTCTTTCTCCTTGCAAAAGGACCTGGTTCAGTTTGCCGGTTTGGCGGCAATAGAGCCGCCATCGCCGCCCCGTCGCAGCATCGTCGCCGCCCGTCGTCTGGGCCTGTCTGTCGGTCTGGCGGCTATGTAGCCGCCGTCGCCGCCCCGTCGCCGTCTCGTCGACGCCCGCCGCCTCCGCTGGATGGCAGCAGGTACAGGGCATGAGGCCAAAGAGGAATAAAAAGCCTGCGGCGCACATGTTGTTCGCTGACAAGAGAAAATGCACCCTATATGTTGCACACATAAATTTCGCAACATCGCTGGCACAACATAGTTTGCACCACATAGCTTGCACAACACATCTTGCACAACCACATATACTGCACCACACATGTTGCACAACATCGAGTGTACAGCATATATGCTGGAAAGCAGGATTTGCACGACGTATGTTGCACACCATAGCTTGCACGACATAGTTTACACCGCATGTTTTGCCCCAGGTGTACTGCAGCATATGATCTGCACCACACAGAATGCGCCACACATATTACACCACGTAGATAGCACCAGATGGATTGCACAACGTAGAGTGCACAGCATGTATTCTCCCTTCTACAAGACTATTGCGACCTCCCGCGAAATGAAGGGTATCCCGTTTCGTCTTGCAATGCTCATTTGAGTCTGCGCATCGTCCATCCTACACATAAATTTGTATCTTTCTAGTCAAACCAGCAACCCCCCTTCATTATGTGCAAAAGGTGCTCCGCGCGCATTTCCATCAAGAACTCTATAGTTCCCAAAAACCCTGATCCACAATGTCCCGAAGTGCACACGCACGCGTCGCCGCGCGCCCATGCCGAAATCTTTCGTGTATTGTACGACTGTTAAAGCCGAGTGTCCCGAAACAAAAAAACAGCTTCCCGACACGATACGGTTTAAAAAGCTTGCGCTCGGGCTCTTGCGAATTCTTAAGAAAACCGCTGGTTTTTTCCAGCAGTCCCATAAGTTGCTACCACACGGGCCTCTTGCGCGCGCATGTCGGGATCGTTCGAACGCCCTTTCAAACAGTGGGACGAAGTGCGCACGGGCGCGTCGTCGCGCGCGCATGCCGAAACCCCTCAAACACCAAAGGTTGTGTAATAGTATCAACATCGAGTGTCCCGAAAACCTGTTTTATAACAAGAAACCATCTAATTCCGCGACCTCCAGTTTTCAAACATGCTTGCGCCTGCGCTCCTGCGAATCTATGAAGGAACCATCAACCGTTTCATCAAACTGCCAGTTGCTGGCTCCTCGCGCCGCTCGTCGACATCATTCGGACGCCCTTGCGCGCGTGTTGGGGGGGCACGACCAGTCTCAAATACCATGCGGGCCATTCTCGCGCGTTGGCCGCGCGCGCATGTCGAATTCCCTCCTAACCCTTCATCGCCGACCCGAGGACGCCGTCATCGTCGTCGGCGTGATCAGCGTCGGTGCCGTCATTGGCCTTGCCGTTGTCGCTGCCACCATCGTCGCCAGCATCGCCACCATCATCATCGCATCTACCGTTGTCGACGTTGCCACGTTACCGCCCCCGCCCTTGTCGCCGACTCGCACTGGAGTGTTTCCCCGGGAAGTGCTCAGCGGTCAGCGCCGCCGCGGCCGCGTCGGTCGCGTAAACTAGCTGGCCGCTGCGCGCGCGAGCATGCGCGGGCTAGCGCGGCCGCAGAGATGCACCAGCCATTTCCAAGTTCTCATCGCAATCGCCGCCGCATGGGTATTGCAGACCAAGTTGCGGGTGGGTGGGTGGGAGGAATGCGCGAGCAGCGGGGTTGACAATTCACAGCGAGCAGTGGTAAATTGCACCACACAGGTTGCACCACCCACATTGCTCTACATTTGCTGTGCCCTATAGGTCGCACCACTTCTATTGCACAGCATATGTTGTACAATATAGATTGCACAACATATATATATATATTGCACGGCATATGTTGCACTACGTAGACAGCTCCACACAGAGTGCACAACATATCTTGCAAGGAGTACCGTTTAGGGGTCCATGCTGGCTAACATGTATAGATAAAGGCGTGTGTGTGTGTGCGCGTGTATGTGCTTCCTTACATTGTTCTTCCCCCTTGGCCCCCGATCTCGTCGCCCCCACCACACCAGTCCTGCAAACTCGAAAGGCCGGATGATGTGAGAACAAAGAAAGGAGGGTTCAGGAGGCGCCCCTGGCATTTCAGATCATGGGTTCGTGGTTGTCCGAGTGTGTGTTGCATCACCGGCGATTTTCGTCAATTGCCGAAGGCGTTTCGGTATGATGAGTGCATGTGCACTCCGAAGCCGCTTGCAATCCGAGCCTCCAGAAATTAGTTGACAGTTGGCACGGTCTCGGCTCGATGCCAACATTTTCAGATTGGGCGAAAGGCGGTTGGGGCGGTTGTTTCATCTAATTGTTTCCAATCACGACGTCCGATGATCTGAGTGCGCCCGATTCGCTACCCGATTGACCTGGCTGCAGCTACACGAGTTTCGACCTGCGGATTGTTGAATTGTGTTGGCACGTGCTATCCCGCCGACGGGCGAGCCACATGCTTGCTCTCACTCGCTCTCTCTGTATATCCTCCCCCTATCTCTCTTGCTTTCTCTCTCGTGTTCTCTTTCTCTCTCTCTCTCTCTCCCTCTCCCTCTCTCTCTCTTACGTTATGCCCCCTTCAGTGTTCATCGCTACGTATCTCCCAAATGTTTCCCAGCAGCGTGTGTGCACCTCGCCGGAGTTTCCTGTCGATCCCTTCTTCGATGGTTGCCCCTGCCGCCAGTCATCTTCCCAACGGGGGCCCCCGAGAGCGCCCACCAGTTGCCCACGGAGTTGTGTCGCGTGCTGCGCTGTAGAATCACCCGCTCCATGCTTTATTCGCGCAAATTCCCCTCCTCTTGCCATCCTCTCCTTTTCCGTGCGAGGCACGACAGAGGGTAGGATCATCTACTTTTGACCGCTACCTCCTCCGATGCGCGCCATCGCCTGCTGTCCCTGCCGCCCCCGAGCGGATGCCGGAACGGTGCCTGGCGGAGCCGCAAGGCACATGGATCCCAGTGCTGAGATGAAAGCGCTCCTGTTGAGGCGAGGGCGAGCTCTATCCAAGTCCCCCGTTGGATTGTGCGAGATGTTGCAGCATCTGCAACTCGGCGGCCGTTGAGCAAAGCGGGCGATTTGAGAGCATGGCCCTTTGGGCCAGCGCTCTTGCGCAGAAGTGCACAACAGCATTGGGGAAGACGTGCCGCATCTCTCCGCGTTCCCTGGCCGCGCAGGTTTGTTTTCATCCAGCTCGCCGTGCGCAACAAGGTGCCGGAGTCTTCAATGCCACCCTGCCAGCCGCCTCTGACCGCGAGCTCCCTCTCCTTTTTCACACGTTGGCATCTAGGTGTCGACGACTCCCTGGCAGGATGCACTTCGCAGTCGAGTCTAGTGTTGTCCACATCAGTGCATTATTATGATTTAATGTTCTTCTTTCTTTTATTATTATTCTCATTTGTCCTCCTCCTCCTCCTCTTCCTCCTCCTTTTCCTTTTCCTTCTCTTCCTCCTCCTCCTCCTCCTCCTCCTCCTCCTCCTCCTCCTCCCAGTGGCCCTGGGCGGAAGGGACGGGTGGGCGAAGGAATCGGGAAATCAAGGCCCGCCCCGGAGTAGCACATGTCGGCCCCGATAGTAAGGATGATCGGCTGCCCAAAGGGTACCCTCGCAGTCCTTGCCTCTTCGTCGTCTTTAGGGGAACGAAAATCCGCGCGGATTTCTCAAATCGGCGCTGGACCCTCCTTCCTGGCGCGCGGAGCGCGCCAGGGGCGGCGCTGGAGGCGCCGCCGGGGGGCCCCAGCGCCGATCCGAGAAATCCGCGTGGACCTCCGAGTTTTTATGTTCATGCCACTTTTTGTTTCCCTAGTCTTCGGTCCATCCTCAACCACTTTCGATGGCCAGCCCCGCCCGAAGAACGAGCCTCTGCATGGGCGTCCAAGGCCCTTGCAGCCTTATCGCGCGTCCCTACCGCGCATCCTTACTACATGGGCTGACTGTACAGACAGCTTCCGAAGCCCACAGGTTGAGGCTCGGCAGCGCCTCTCCTCTAGGTGCCTGCGGCGCACAAATCGGGGTGACGCGGCAGGGGGGCCTTTCAAGAGGGCGGGGGGCTTGGGAAGCACCTCGGCCTTCGAAGGAACCTTCTTAGAAGCCTGCGACCACTTCCAAGAAGATCCCTGCGGAAAAGGTACCCAGACCGCCACCCTTGGCCCGTGTTCCCTTCCATCGGCCTCCTGGAAGGCCCTCGTCGCACCGCTGGATTCGCCTCGAAATTCTAGCCAGAACGCATCCTGGGAGAGGTCCGGCGAGTAGCGGTATGGGTACTGTTTGGTCTCCTTGGAATAATGTTCCTTCGGCGGCGCAGAGAGAAAACTGCATTCGGGATCTGGGTGTGCGCGGCGCCAGAGCGAGAGTCCCGGCCTGACGAAGACAGATGCTCTCGATCCTCAAAACGGATGCTGGCGTCTAAGACGAAGTTGTGCTTACCAGCCTCGAACGTATCCCTATCCCTAAGATTGGCACGCCAAAAGGCGATGACAATCTTAGGGATCCGCCCTCAGAAAATATGGGAATCCCTAAGATTGGCATCGTGATGAGGAGGTGCTCAGCATAGGGATATGGATATGTTCCAGGCTGATAATGTGCGACGCTGAGGCGAGAGCTCCATTGTTCGAAAGAGAATTACCCCAGTGCGACCCTACCTAGAAGTTGGAGCCCCTAAGAAAGCAGCATTTGTTGCTATGTTATGCCATGCTATGCTGCGCTATGCTATGCTGTGCTCTGCTATGCTAAAGCTCAGCGAAGCTAATATGAAGGTAAGCTAAGATAAAACTGAGGTACGATGAAGCTAAGCTAAGGTAAGATGACGTAAGCTAAGCTAAGATGAGATAAGCAACGCGAAGCTAAGGGAACGTCACTGGGGGAACCGCGGGGCGGATGCCGGGGGGAACGCCCGGGGCGGGCCCTATGCCCGGCCCTTGAAGCCTCCGAGTAAGAACCCTTCTAGGCAGAGCCTAGGTAGGGAAAAAACGCCATACACAGCTTCGGGCGCTCCGCGCCGGGCCCCTCCCGCGGCGCCTCCGGCGCCGCCTCCGGCGCGCTCCTCGCGCCGGGGAGGGGGCCCAGCGCAGATCCAAGAAGTCCGCGCGGAGCTCCAAAAGTTTATGTTATGCCGTTGCTTAGTCTTCTTCTTCTTCTTCATATTCTTCTAGTCCGACCTCCATCATTGGAACTGTTGCAGGCTCTTAGGGCGAATGCGCGCGTCGGGGAGGCGACCACCGCATGTTGAACACGACCTATACCCCCCTATCCATGAAACTGCTACAAGGATTGAAAACATAACGATTGTGCGCGAGCTCCAGTTTGAAAGCCACGCGCGCTTCATCGTTGGCACTGCTGCGAACTTTTGAGACGAATGCGCGCGGATCTTCAGAGAGATGTCCATTTTGAAGACGAGCCGTTCTCCATCCTTGAAGCTGTTACAAGCCTTTCATGATGAATGTGTGAGGCGCTACGGCGAGAGCCGTATTTTGAAAACGACTTGTGTGCCTTCAATGAACTTGTTGCAATTTTCAATTTTCAGTACCATGTGGTAGCCAACGTGGATCCTAAACAGCGTTATCCTGCAACAAGTGCGGTGCAATCCAGGTGGTGCAACCAAGGTGGTACAATCTAGCAGGTGAAATACATGTGGTGGAGTAGATGTGGCGCAACGCAAAGCAATGCAACATGCAACGAAACGCAACGCAATGCGATGCAATGCAACGCAATGCAACTCCATGCAATGCCACTGCAAGGCAGTGCGACGCCATTCAACCCAGTGCAGCGCGATGCGAAGCGAGGCACATCAGTGCAAACGAAGGCTCGGCCAAGCAAGGCAAAGCAGAGCAGAGCAGAGCAGCGCCATGCAGTGCAGTGCAAAACGCAGGGCGGCGCAGAGCGACGGGTGGCGACGGGCGGCGACGCACGGCGGCGGACGGCGGCCGCGGGCAGCAGCGGGCGGCCACAGAGCCAGCCCAGGGCGACATTTGTGGGGCCCCGTTGCGGCGGCGCCTCCTTTTTCCTCCTCCTCCTCCTCCTCCTCCTCCTCCTCTACTCTCCTCCTCCTCCTCCTCCTCCTCCTCCTCCTCCTCCTCCTCCTCCTCCTCCTCCTCTTTCTTTCTTTTATTTATCCTCCTTTTTCCACCCTCCTCCTCCTCCTCCTCCTCCTCCTCCTCCTCCTCCTCCTCGACGGGCGGCCACAGGCCGGCCAGGGCGGCGCTATAGGGCCCAGCCTGCGGCGGCGACGGGCGGCAGCGGCGGGCGGCCACAAAGTGTGGGGTCGCGGGCGAAGCGCCTGTGGCACGCCCTGCGGGCTCGTCCGGGGGGCTTGGTATCGCTCGGACGTGTGCACTTTTTCTCGGCGGGGAGTATTAAGGAGCATCCTGGACCATCCTGCGAACAAAAACCACGCGCGGAACCCCAAAAAACACGGGGAATGGACGTCGAAGCGATGGCCAGGGGGTGTCACAGGGAGGAGTGATCTACAAGGAGCAGGGGCGGAGGAGGAGGAGGAGGCGGACGACGACGACGA